ATATTTGTTTCATATTAGTATCTAATTGAATTTCTCTTGTTCCCTAGTATGATCACAAATATATCTCAATGCTTTCGAATCGATTGATCGAAAAAATAACAACAAATTTACCAGATGTTATACGTAACGGAGATGCGTTAGCTTGGTACCCTGGGTGTGTGAATTTGTCTTTTGCATATGTAGAAGGAGAATCTTTATTAATGGCCTTAAAAAATGTTGCTTTGAGTAGTGGTTCCGCTTGTACAAGTGCAAGTTTAGAGCCTAGTTATGTTTTAAGAGCAATTGGAGCATCAGAAGATCTAGCACATTCCAGTATTAGGTAAATTATGTTTATGATATAGTGTCTAATAAGATTAGCATAATATCTTAATAGTTGTTTACTTATATAGATTCGGTATTGGTCGTTTCACAACGCTTGAAGAAGTTGATTATACCGCAGAAAATACGATTCGACACGTTAAAAGACTTCGAGAAATGAGGTAAATCTTATTCATTTATAATATATTTAATTGATATGAAAGCATGGATCTATTTACACAATTTTGGTAATGAGTATGAAAACCACAATGATCATAACAAAGGGCATAAATTTATTATTGGACGTTTTTTATAATTAAGAATATATAACCTTAAATATTAATTGTATTATATAAATATTAATGTATATTTAAATTACTCGTTTTGCAGTCCATTGTGGGAAATGGTTGAGGAGGGAATAGACTTGAAAACTATTAAATGGACTCAACATTAGTGACTTTATCACATAGTTCTAACTATCTAATATGTAGATAGTGTGGATCATATGTACATTGATGATTGTAAGTCATACAGATTTAGCCTAATTAAGTAAAATATTTTTCAATGTATAATGAATGTTTATTTAAAAATCTTTACTTTTACGTTTTTTAAAATTTGACTTCAAATGTATATAAATTTTACTGATACTTCCCCATTTCCTTATTTGATGATGCTTTCCCTCATAGAAAAGCTTGACATTATTATCATTCGATACAAAAAGGGACCTATACTCTTCACACTTTATTTACTAAATGTTATTCAAGTTATTCAAGTTATAAAAAATGTGGCATCAAGGGCATACACTTGCTAATGTTTGTTATTCAGCATAAACACGATGGTTCAGTAGCTTCATCAATATATGAGATTTTAAACCTGTCTTTGTCCATTTCATGCAATTCCATGCGTGATCTGTTAGTTTCTACTAGATGTTGCGCTATCTCCTCAAACATCTCATGTATTCCTTCTCCAGTTTTACATGATGTTTTATATATACCAGAAATCAGATTATGACACTGTTCACTATAACAAATAATATAATACTATTATTTGTCAATATGTACCTATATAAATATGCATATACATATGCAAAATACTTAGATTCTGACTAAACTTGCCAAAATTGTTCCATTTCTGCATCTGTAACTTGTGGAGCAGTGCTTTCCAAGTCACTTTTATTTCCACAGAGAAATATTTTTGCATTTTCAGCATATGTAACAATATCAAGCAAATGTTGAGACAAAAGATGGAATGATGTTGAATTATCTAGTGCAAAAACTAATATAGCAGCTTCTGCAAATTTGTAATAACTCGATGTTACTGATGCAACTCTTTCCATACCACCTGTATCCCATAATTGCAACTGAAATATAAAATAGAATCGAATGTTTAATATACATATGAGTATTAATATATTGTTGTATCCAAAATAAATTATACTTTAGTATATAACAATCGCCTAAGTACGTATTATGTATTACAAATATATGTAAAGAAAAATGAGATTAGTCATATTTAATTCAGTTTCAAGGATTGTGATTATATATACACGGACGTGTACATATTTATATCTGTATTATAAATGTATTACTCGTATTCGTCTGTCTTCAACGACATATTCCTTATCGATATTATCGAGACCCAGTGTCGATTTTCGATCGTTATTCGTTATAAAAGTGTTGTTGGCGAAACGCCTAAATATAGAAGTCTTTCCGACACCGTATTCTCCGCACAGAATAACTTTCTGTTCGGTTACTTTAACAGTAGCCATGTTAGGGTTATATTACTTCGCCGGTTGTATCGAAATACAAAAGCAGTAACATCAGTAATAACAAATCATTATGTCTGCTTGCATTTTTCGCGATGATGCGAACATTCTATTCAATGGTTATTCGCTTGTATACAGTCACTAACACACGAGCGCATTGACAGTCGTGACAATAGAAATATTATACCAGTAACGGACTATAAAATACTACTACCATAGAATACCTATTCACATCGATACGGTATAACAAAAATTTTAATAAACTCGTAAATAGTTCCGGAGTAGAATTGAACAATTCTAATCTATTTTTAATGCAGTTACATCATACTAAATATGATGAAGTTGAACATGTTTTAAGAACTTCCTTAAGTAGTTTTCAATTTCGTAACAATAAATACTCTTATTTCAATTCGCAACATTGTTACTCAGTGTTAAATATAGTATTGTAATTGACTCATAAATAATTGTACAGGTTTCCTTTTCACAATGGTGGTATAAGCATATTTAATATTTTGTATTTATTAGAAATTTTAAATCATAAGAATTCTTTGTAATATGGGAAAAAATATAAAACCCCATCCGTAAAATTTAAGTACATTTTCCAACAGGGTAAAACTTTTTATATAATTTTAAAATTAATATGATTACACATGCAATTAGTAAAATGAAATCGAAATTAATCACAATTAATTTTAAATCAACGGTTATATAATAGAATTTTAAGTATGTTTGTTAAGTGCTGCCATCTACATCGAAGTAAAACAGGAATCGCAAATGTAGTGTGTGTTCGTTCTTCAGCTGTTTAGATTCTTGTTTGACGTTAATTATTTCAATGTTGCCATGTACTTTTAGCGTAATTATTTCAATATCGTGTTTTTCGTTGTGGAAATAACGAACTTTCATCATGGTGCTAAGCGATGTGGACAAATTTCTTCACGGATTAGAGAAAGCTGAATTAGAGGTGAGTGTATTAACTTTTATAGGTTATGCCGACTGTTCCAAATTCTTTCCACGAAAATATTAATAAATGTTTCATCTAACTATTTGTTGCATATTTTTTTGCAGGCACCTGGCGGAGTTGCGTCAGTACAGACTTATGCTCAATTATTAGCTGTGTATCTTTATCGAAATGATTTGTAAGTACATGATCTTTGTTTCCTTTCGTTCTTTATTCTTTAAATATCGAACAAATTATGTTTTTGAACTGAAAAAATTATTTACTTCATTACACAAATTTGTAATATACTGTATTTGTGTATTAGTATATTAAAATTATCGTTTCATGTATATTATATCGATGTTATGTACAAATCCGTATCCGAACTTACGAAATGTGAATTTTTTTTTAATGACTTTTTGAAGCAATAGTGAGAAGAAAAATTTGTTAGTTATCCTTTTACGTCTAGGTACATATATATCAATGATTCTTTCGTTTTTTCCCCCAGACATGTAACTTGTAACATATGTATGTTTTTTTATTCCCTATTAATGGCTGATATCTTGGGAACAGCAATTAACATATATGTTCCATTTTCATATTTCATTTACGTTTCATTAAAAATCGTTTGACAAGTACTCAATCGATTTTATACATAAATCGTATTAAGATAATTGTGTATTTGTTGTTGCAATTTACTAATTTAATCAATTTCTTGTTCTATATTTCTTTCTTTTCATTCACAATTTCACGCTTTGCATATTAATTGTGCATTTAATTTTATGAATGAACTCGTCCTTCAAAATACGCTATACATTGCATTCTAGATTTCTTTTTGTTCCAATTTTCTATGGAACTTATTCTTGCGTGGAGTTTGGCTTGTTTTTACTTTAACAGAGCTTGTAAGAAACACATTGCTTTTTATTTGGCTTTTTACTATTAACAATACTTCAACGACACAAATTCGTTCCTTATAAGACCTGCACGAGCGAGATTTCGATCCGTCTTTATTTGATCGAAAAATCGCCGTCGCAGATGCAATGCCAAATACTTGTGGAAGCGGATACCAGCGGATTTGAAAAGCGGCAATGCGGAACTCGGCCAAATATGGATGGTGGGACAGCGTATGTGGCAAAGGGACTGGTCTGCAGTTCACGTTGCCCTTAACGCAGAATGGGGCGAGGATGTCTCCGACATTATGGCTGCTCTAAAAGGTATATCTAAATATGTTAATATTAGCATAAGTCCTAATTAATAATCAAATATATACCTTAAGTAATTCAGGATACTTTTTTAAATAATTTGCTCCGTTAATTTTCATTAAAGGAATTTAATATGCGAAGTCTCAGTGAAAAAAGGAATGTTTCGTTTATTCGTCGAAACATCAATTTTTACGCGTTTTTTCCAGAAAATGTTCGAGAAAGAGCGATTACCTTAATATCCAAGGCTTATTCATCGCTGGGTTTAACCGTATTCGCGTCGATGACGGGTTTAACATTGGAGGAAGCTCGTCGAGTGGCGGTCGAAAGGGGTTGGGCCGTAGATGGGACGATGGTGCAGCCTTGTAAGATTCAAAAAGAAGAGAGCAACCTTGCCAACGATGTTTGCCGTACCGAGGATCAATTGTACAAACTTACTCAGTTCGTGTCTTTCTTGGAGAACTGAACGGACAGCAGCGGGTCGTGAATGACGAAGCTCACGCAACACGAAGACACGATCGACAGTACTTTAAACTTAGTTTTACCTCGTAATCGTATTATATAAAGGAGGAAGTGTGCTTCAAAGGAGGCACCTGTGTCCCTTCCCTAAGTATATACCTCGGTCTACCTACGCGTCCTGCTCATTCAATCGGAAGACTCATTCGATGAAGCTCGCTGTAAGCATGGAGTCAACAACTCGATTAATCAATAACCGGCTGTCGTGTGCGAGGAAACTGGCATTTTCTAGAAGAAGCACTTTCCACAGGGGAGAAGAAAAATCTACAGTCCGAATCACTAGGATTTCAACTTAATATATATATATATATATATACATATACATACATCTTGATCAACCAGTGTTCATTTTAGCATTAAAACAACCGGAACGAATTATTCTGTTGTATAAAATAATAATCTTAAACGCGATGAACTATCGTCTTGATATAGCGTCTCATGTATAAATACGTTACTTGCCTTTAACATTCTGTACTTTTCATTGACTATTTTTCTCCTCGTAGCTTCATTTCTCCCAACTAGATTCGCCGATCCTCTCAGGTTCCGATGATTTTATTTCCTTCAATATTTCTAATTAGCTCTGTCTCTTTAGTAGTAGGTCCGTCAGAAGGAGTCGCAGTATCTTCGAATTTTTAAAATTTGAGGTCGAATTGCATAACGAACGCAAGATCCTAGAGCGATAAAGTCATGGTAGCTGGGGGAAAGGGTGATCTCGAAACGAGTGGCTTCGATCGCGCGTGAAAGCAAGCGGGTGTATCGTGCTCGGTGAGGCCGCTGGAAAAATCCGCGCGAGGAGATTCTGCCGCGGGCATTGCGTCACGCAAATCGAATCCTCGTGGGTCAGAAAAATCGCGGACAGATAGGTATGCCCGGTTGGCTCGTACCTTCTGGCCTCCGACATGCCTCCGAGTAATTCTCTATGAAATCGATTCTGACCGTCCCGTATTGTAAACGCTGAATATGCACAATCGCACGGCGATTGCGTAACGTTAGATATTCTCAAAGAAATCGTTTCCACTAGTCAGCAGGTAGCCGGTGTGTGCACCCACCGTCATTGGTGTCGGTTGCTCTTTTTTGGCTCCGCTATACTCTAGAAAGTTGTTGCACCGGTATCACCAATCCTACACGATACACGAGTTTCATATTTTACATGGTATATATCGCAACGCGTAAATTTCCGTAGAAATCAGCATGACGCTCGAAAATGTACAGGATTTGTGCTTTCGTTTAACGCTTTCTTTCTTTTCGTTTTATTTCCAATGCGTTTTCGGCTTCGCGCCGAACAGGATAGGAACAACGTGCTTGAAATAGCACAAGACTATCGGCACGATATGCTAATTTCGTTGGAATATTTGCGATACATCATCGAAGGTCGAATATTTAGAAAATTCAACGTTACCGCAACGTGGGAAGAAATGAAAAGAAAAGTCTTCGACGTATCTGGAAGGCGTTCCCACGCGTTCGTACCGCATCGGAGAGCCTATCCTAACCGTTGTTTATATCAAGAACGTGCGATCGGTGCAGTAATCGGTATCGAAAAAGGCGTCCGGTCAGCGGGGGGTTGCAAAATGGCTAGGACGTAGCTTAGGACGAGGATGACGATGCCGACCCCGTGGTACGTACAAGAGGCTCGTTGCCCCGGCGTATTCTGTTCACTGTGCCTTTGAATAATGCAGATTCATCGTCGTTTCAACGAGCGATGATTGCATCCCGATATCACACCGATTCTCCCTCGTTTCTTATCCTCTCCCTCTTTCCAGATCATCGTTGCCTGGATAGATAACGATTGCGATTATTCGTGGAGGGTGAATCAGCTTTACGGAGAGTATCATCGCGAATGTTTCGCGTTCTCTAACATTTCTGTTTCTTCTTGAAATAAAATTCGAATAACCCCACGAATAACTAGTTCCATCAATTTTGGACGAGTGACACAGATTTTGGAAGACACCGAGAATTCGAAGGAAACGTTCGTTTCAGGACAGAATAAGCAGTTAAGTGATTTCTCTAGTTTCTTCTTCGATTCTCTTCGAATTACCATATTTTTTTCACTTGTCTATATTTAGTAAATACAACCTTTTTTTTCTTCTCTTGTTTAACATAAACCGACTGTCGAACATGGTGTCTAAATATTTTAATTTTTAGGGGTACACTAGGACGGATCTAAGTTGATTTAGAGGAGAAAATTAGCCGGATTCGGATGATTAGACATTACTCCCTCGAGTATCTGCACGATTTCTAGAAGCTTGTACGCTCGGTACCACCGAGTATTACTAAAGACGAGTACTAGTTTGCAACATAAAACGCGAAGGTGAGAGGCAAGAGGGAAGACCCGGGTTACCAGTTACCTTACCTGACCTCCCCTCGTAAGAGTACGCGCCGGTGACTCGCGTCTTCTTTCCCGAGAGCGTAGCTGCGCCGCGGCCTGTTGCGGTGACCTTTGCACGTCGCGGAAAACGCCGATGCTCCGTGAGCAGCGAGCGAGTGGCACGAATCGAACGCGACTAGTCGATTTCGAAAGTCTCATCGCGGCGGAAGAGCCGTCGGGGTGAGAGGACGGGGACGAGGAGGATGATGATAATGATGAAGAACAACTAGAAGGCCGAAGAAGAACGTTCCCCTTCGTTTAACTATCGACGTTCCTTGTTAAGCCACTGATAGATCCGTTCAAATGGAGAAGCAAGGGGTGTTTCGACACCTGTCGTCCCCTTGTTCTCCGAACACAAGGTCGTTGGGAAACGTGTTTGCACAAAAGGGGGATAGTATAACGCGAGGGAACGAGCAAGTCATTAAAAACTTTCTTTTCATACCGAATTGGTAAGGGAGGCGATATGTCTCGGGGAACTTTGCCATCCGTGTATAGTTGGCGAGAAGTCACATTCGTTTACGAGTTTCTTGGTCTCGAATATCGGTGTGGCCAACGGGGTGTACAGTGGCTATTGAACCGGTGACTGAAACAACGATATCGCGTAGGTAGGATATCGCACAGTAGGTGCTTTTTCACGATTTAATCCCGTTAGTTCGAGTGGTGTTCAGTTTACTTATGACGTTTCCGTGGTAAAGTGAAACGAGGAATAGGCTGCGATGACAATGTTTCACCGCTCTCGATCATCCAGTCTGACTTCTACGTTGCGTAATAACGGCAATCCGCCTAGTTAGAGGTTGGATCTGAACCATGATCCAGAGGATCCATCTTCGTTTCTCGTTCTCGATCCGATCTTACATCTTCCTCCTAGCCGGCCAACTTCCGCTTCCTCGATGCTCAATTTGCCATCCTCCACGACGGATATTAGCACTTACACGATGGGAAAAAGAAGAAGAAGAAGAAAAAAAAACAGGCCTACCTGTTATCGAACTGGAAACCATTCGAATCGTCTGGAACAATAAGCTCGCTGGGCCACTCTCTGCGGGGGTTGTACCGTTAAGAGTACCACAACGTGTCTGTGGTCCGAGCAGAAGGAGAGAATAGCGAAGGAAAGAGAGGGAAAAGGCACAATTGAATGTTGGCGGATCCGTGGGCGGGACGCAGTTCGATTGTTTCTTTATCGCGATCATCCTCGCTCCTTCTTCTACGGCGGGGCAATGGCAATCTCACCACCAATCCGCACAATCATTCGTGTTCTCCGTAGATTTCTATATCGTGGCCTGTATCATTGTCCTTGTTGCGTCGCGCGACGCGTTGGTTCGCGCCGCGTTCTCGGTGGGTGCGCTCAGAATGCACCTTCTCCGCGGCATTCCACGGGGAAAGAAAACCGATCGTTACCTTTGCACAATTGCATCTTGCGGAACGTAACGGTGATCGGTCGGGGGATCATCGATTCGTCTCGATCGAGACACCCCCGCAGAATCTCGGAACGGAGAGATTTCAGCCGGCACCTCCGTCGTGGCATTTCCAATGAGATACGAGTCCGTATTCGCCTTCGTGAGAAACGAATTTTGGGGAGCGTCCGACCAAGTTGAATCTTAATGGATTTTAGAAGAACAATAACGCAGACGAATGATAGTTTGGCGCGCAAACCGCGGCCGTTGTCTATATCTCGTAGACTTTCAGTTCTAGATCCTTTGTCTGGGAATGTCCGATCGAAGTATTCCCAACCTGAAATCGAATACGCAACAATGCTTTCCCGTGGCCCGTATTCGTTGGCCCCGGCCACCCCTTATATTGTAACCAGATAGATTACGGTCGATCAACGATAATCGAATTATCCGTTGTCTACGAAATATTCTAAATAAGGCGTCTCGCGCGGTTCCACAGATGGATAACAGGCCGGATTACGTAACGGGGATGAAGGAGGAAAAGAGAAACCGAACTCGCAACGCGACCGAATTTAGCCTGCATTAGGAATTCATAACTACCGAGGAGAAATTGGCCGTGACGCTGCTCCGTGACAAATACGCGACTAAAGTTCCTCTGGCATCTCGATTGACACGATAACCCTCTTCGTATTTGCAACAATGTCTAATCGTGACCGGCCAGAGGAAAAGCAGTATCCTCGTTATCTCGTTATCGTAGCGTCTTTAGCCGTTTCGTGGCCTCTTCTCACCGACGTACCAACGGCAAATTCATTTCCATCGTTCTGTGCACGAACGACGGAAACGCGAGGATATTCGCCGAAGAAGCGAAGGAAGAGAAATATCGCGAATTTAGTTAATTCCGAGTTGGACTTTCGACTTGGTGGAACAGCAGACGTCTAGACACTTGCGGCTCGAATCGAGTGGAACTCGTTCTGCCGACTGGTCCAGCTATTAGCGCCATTCATTTTTGATGTTCGAACGACTTGTAGCATTCGACCACTCGCTTCCGAGTTTAAATACTCGAATTTACCAATTACCCCGACTCGCATATGCCGCAGGAATAATCAAGATACCGGCACATCGTTAAGAGAAAGGTACGGAGATCAGATCAGGATTTGGCGAGGACTTGGAAAGTGCCCTCATCTGGACCACTCGGTCTTTCCATGGAAAGTAAGAGGAACCGCGTGGAAGTTTCTCGAAAGCCGAGCGTACGAAGCTTTTCCAAGGGTTACGATGTTCCAAGCTGATAGCTCCCTTCCTCGGTTGCATCGGTGGCACGCCACGAGGCGGCTGCATAGCGCAGCGTGCGCGCATGGCGGGCGCAGACTTCTGGGATTTCGCAAGCGCGGCACTCTCGCCACTCCGGAGATAAAGAGAAATACCTGAGAAGGTGCAGGTGAGGTAAGGCGCAATGAGGCGGCGAGGGGGAGAGGAGGAGGAGGATAGCTTCTCGCTGGCGACCTAACACAAGAGTTGCAGAAAGAAGAGTGAGAGGGGAGTGGAATCGGCGGGAAGAAAGACAGAAGAGAGACCGTTGAACGGGAGAGAAGGCAGAGAACGGAATATGGGAT